ACTCACAAAAAGTTGTGGATATTCGGCTTCCGGATGAAATTTCAGAATGTACATAAAATGCACTATAACCTTTCCAGGTGATCTTAATTTGACCTTCGCTAAACTTTTGAATGCATATGTCCAACTGTTCAATGTCTCAATACTTATTGCATAACATGCTGTTTCAATGACAGTTTGTATTTAAACAGTCCTCTTCATCATGCTGTTCACATTTTGACATCATGAGACCAAAACAACGCCTAACAATCGATCAACAGTCCCTGGCCAGAGCGAGGCTTCAAACGGGATGTACTCAGAGGGAGGTTTCCACTGAGCTTAGAGTGTCACAGAGTGTCATCAGCAGGTTGCAATAAGTCCACTTGTGAACAGCATGGGACGTCTTGTCGAGCTGTAATCGATGCTGAAGGACAAATGACATTTTACTGACACAGTGACATTTTTTGTTGTGGTATAGCCACCACTGTTGTTAGCTTTTTGCTTAAAAAAATTGTTTGAGATGAAGAAATTTCCATTGCATGCTTCTACTTAAATGCCCTACTTTCATGATATAATATCACTGTAGCATCAACTTTTTACATTCTCCATAAATTTCACCCAAAAGTGGAATATCCCTAACTTTTTGTGAGTAGTGTATGTACTTACTTCCATACTGGTTAGTACCAGGCTTCTGAAAAACCGATCCTAAGTCATTTGTTGTTCTATGATACCCCATTGATATAAACTAATATTGTGTTATATGCAATGATCTTACACTTGTTTGCATTCATTATTTTTTTTCAGTGGCAAAACTTGGGAAGACACCTGGGAGCCTGCCAGCAACTTTATAGGCTCCATTTAATGTTTTTGTTTGTGTGTCTTTAAGACACCTGTATGTTGAATGTTGTTCTCTCTCTGCCTCTCTCTCCCTCTCTCTCTCTCTGTGCATGAATAAAAAAAAAGATTTGTTCATTTGTTTTATTTCAGTTCAGTTTCAGTTTGCCTTTGTCATAACATTTTGAATGTCTCTTTCACACACTCATCCACATCTCCTTTAGTTTTTAATATGCAAGTCATATATACAATGTTATACCATAAGCAATGAAAAAATATACATAGGGATGTGTAAAAACATCAGTATGTACAGAATCAATGGCATATAAGCAGTCAGTGTTTGAGTGAAGAAGACTAATAAATATGTCCATGAATATTTTATAGCATCATCCCAAATTACAGCAGTGTTGCAATTACTGTCCGTGATGTGCCATGTTAATTAAACCTGAATACAAAATTAGACAGGTATTTCTGGAGTTGTCTTATTGTCCACAAAAAATTTCTATGACAGAAAAAAATGCATTATAATCTGCGCCAATTATAAACCAATTATATGAAGCGTTACACACTTCACCTTTCCCAAATGGGCGTGGTCTCCTTGCCCCTGATCTCCAAACTTAATTCAAGTGTTGTGAACGTCATGTAGATGGATGAAAGCAGATTGTGTTGTACCATAGATGAATTCAAAAGGTGATTTAAGTTTTAGTTCAGCTGTTAGAGATCATATTTGATGAAACCAACAATTCAGCACCATATACAGTTCAGCACTGTCAAATCTCGTGATAGTGTATTTCTGCTGGGAAAATAATGATTTTAAGAAGAAATCTACAACAAACGCAGATGAATAAAAATGAAATGCATTCATGATTATGCTTATAAAATCCCGTGATTTGATGAATAAAATATGCATTCATCTATACAGAATATTAGATTATTGGCCGTTTGGGTTATATAAAACTCCGTTTAGAGTTTCTAGCTTGTAGAATTTGTCTGTTGTCTGTGGACAAGTAAAATATTAGCAGGGGTTCTGTTATAAGTATATAATAGATAATAAACATGAAACGTTTCTCTTCTGGCTTTATTTTGAAAGTGTAACCGTACGTTGCATATTTATTTTGCAAATTCAGTCAGTGGGTAAATGTGTTGTTGTGTTGTTGCTTACTTGACAGTGCCACGGTCTCATATCAGCTGGTCCTCCGGTCAGCCAAACACAAAGGTTCCGGATTTAAAATTCAATTGCGAGCAAACTCTGAAATGTACGTTTTTTATATTTAAGATCGTCATTGAGCAGTTACATAAAATAACACGAATAACATTACAGCTCCGATGCAATTATCAAAACAATATTCACGTGTTTCAGCGATAAGACGCCCATAGCAACTGCATAGCAACCATAAACATAGAATAGACACCATAGAAGCCTGAAAAAACAACATTCATTCAACAGAGATTGTGGAAATAATGTACACATTTCCCACTAGAAATTATCACAACGAATTCTAATGCCAAAAATATCTTAAAAGGTTGTTTTTCCACTGAAAATCAAAGAAAATGCAGCCATTTTGACTGCTCGGCTCGATAACAAACCTTCTGTACCTACGGGCTTGAATAGAATTGGATCAGCCAGATGAATGGGTGGTAACTGCCTCCTGTACCTACTAGTAGGTAGAGTAGGCCCCTACTGGCCCATATCTGTAGGATGATTGTATCAGGATAACGCTTATTCAATGGTATGACAACAGTCAGATCGCCTGAGAAAGGTCAGAGCAACTATCTACAGTGATCTGACCTCACCAACACAACCAAAGCAACACTGACACAAAAAGAAAAGGCTTCTGGACAAGAAAGAGTTTCTCAGGCTGAATATAACACATGACTCCAAGCCTGGAGAAAAGGAAGGTGAACAGAAAAATGTAGTGATATTGTAAAATATTAGGACAAAGTACACTTTTTATTTTAAGAACATAACCATTGAGATTCAGTCATTTTTTAGCTTCTATTGTCATCGGGTTCATGTTTAGAGATATATCTATACGTGAAACTATACACACGTTTTAGGACGATGTCATCCGGACAATATAGGACCATTCTGGATGGTTTGAGGAGAGGTTAAAGTTGCAGTGTTCTATGAAGTACTGTATATGTCGCCCTCCACACAACATGTTAGGCCTATGCTGATTTTATTGATAAAAAGGTCCTATGATGGTCATTTTATAAGATATGTTTGCAAAACTTAAACTGTACACAGAAATGTATTAGCACTACGATATATTATAAATTGGATCCAGGATCATCCTATCAAACTGGGGAAGGGGTTAAAGGGTCTATAAATAGCCATATTAAGTTAATGGGAAAATGTCAAAGGTGAAACAATCAGTAGTTTAAGGGGAAAATAAACTCGGAACTGGTCCACATTGAAAAGTATGACTGTGTATAATCCTATAATCGATATCTTAAATAAATCTGGCCACAAAATACCTGTTAAAAGATTTTGAGTGATTGTTTCCAGCTTGGCCCTTAAAGAGGTCTCTGAATGTATACGTCAAACAGCCATGGTGTGTACCAACAAAAAAAATCAAACTTTGTCGTAGGACAACAGTGAAGACATCGTTGGAAAGGTCTTGACCTAGGGAGCAACATGTGTTAATATGAGATTTGTGGGCGGTTCCTGCTCCTCTGGTGTGCCCTTTGAACCTTGTACCTGTGACATTTCTGAAGGCTTATAGTTCAACAACATAATATGCTACAGACATGGGGTCAACAGTTTTGGAAAGCTCTGCACCTCTACTATCATACTTGACAGCAGACCAATAGGGGACGCCACTGAGTAGGGTCAAAACCTATAAAAAACATGATTTCACCCTCTTACCAATAAAAGTTAAAATCAGACCAAACAGGCGTGCTTCCCACCCTTAAAAACATATAATTAGCTTGCAAAGTTCGTGTTCACAGTTTTACATAATAGAGATAATTCATTGGAACTACAAAAGCTATGAGGCAGCACAATGCTGTGTACTGTAACCACTGTAACTCGGCACAAATTGTAGTTCCGGTACCCTCCTTCCGGGTCCTTCCAAGGTTTTCAAGACGTCAGTCAACCCCAACTTGAATTTGATATTAACATGACAATTTAGGTTATTTAAGTATCATATAACATAATATATATATATATATATATATATATATACAGGTACTACTCGGAAAATTAGAATATCCTGAAAAAGTGCGTGTATTTCTGTAACTCAACTTTAAAGGTGAAATTTACATATTATATAGACAAATAGTATGCAAATCAATATATTTCAAGCTTTTATTTGTTTTGATTTTGCTGATTAGGACTTGCAGCTTCAGAAAACCTCAAATTCAAAAACTCAGAAAATTAGAATACTGCTTGAAATCAATAAAAAAAAAAGGATTTTAAATATAAAAATGTCAGGCCTCTGAATGTAAAATCTTGCATCTGTACTTAGTACTTGGTTGGGGCCCCTTTTGCACGAATGACTGCCTTAATCTGG